GCGGGGCCTGCTCCGCACAGGGAAAGCCTGCGTGTGTGCCGTGCCGTGGCCAAGGCCGGCACTGCTTGGGAGCACCTCGTACCTACCCCGCTGCAGCTATGAAGTTCAAGTTTGAGGCTTTCACCTGTACTGTAGACCCTACATGCCACAAAGTTTGAAAGTCAAGGGTAAATTTAAGGGCTATTCTTAAGAGAGGTTTCTTATCATCGTCTCTACATGTGATGGTCATGTGCCAGATATTTATCTCCACAGTCCTTCTTATCTTCTCCAGCAGAAATTTGGAATTTTGAATTATTGGTTCCTTTATGGTGGCAGAGCAGTATCTCACTTTATTCTGTGCTGACTGCTTTTGCTGCACAGCACACTACAAAGCTTATTGTAAAGGGTAGTTCTGTCTGAAAGTGCTCCTGAGGTAGATTTTTTATTTTTGTTTTGTGTGTTTCATTCATAACCTTGTTTCTTGCAATTTTTATGGAGACTGGCTCCACGACTTTTCACATGCTAATTTATCACAAGTTCTTTCATTTTTATTCCGTTTTTATTTTATTCCGTATTTATTATGGAATTTGGAGTCTTCTTTAAAAACTTGGTACATTTTTCTGCAATGTGCGATGTCCTCCTGTTTCTGCAATTGTTTGACAGCTTCCTCTGTGTAAGGCAATGGATGCTGTTACACAGACACTGCTTCCCTCCTCTCCTTGTCAGGAAAAACAATTGCACCATCTCTTCTTTTCCACTGAAACCATAATCTCAGACCAAAAGTGAAGCTTCAATTAAATCTCTTATCGGAAGTTCATAAAAGTTCATAAAAGTTCATAAAAGAGGCCACTTCACCTCTCTTGGCATTTTCTCTTACTTGTTTATGGTTCCTTGTACCATGTGACTGATGATCCATCTGGACTGGAGATGCTTTCTGCCTGGACACCAATTTTGCTGTAATGTAAGAGAAAACGCTGCTGTCCTTTAGACTCATCTCAGGATATTTGGAAATGGAGGTTTGGAAGACAGTGAGAGGTTAGGATAAGCATCATTTTAAAGCAGAACCTCCAACTTGAATGAAAAGCTTGTTGTTTTCTTCATGTATAGTTGAAAATAATCTAGATTCTCCTAAGTATTAAAAAATCTGATAGGCTTAAGTGAGTCTCAGTGCAAGGAAAGTCAACATAAAGTGTTCTGTGCCTCAGCTCTACATCCAGTTGGTTACTTGTTGTGCTAGACTGCAACAGGTTCACATTTATGGCTTACAGTTGTTATGTTGCATCTCTTCTGTTACGTGGAGAAGCTTGTAGGTTTCCACAGGAGAAACTTCTTCATGTAAAAGCCAGAACATTTTTGACTTAATGGAAGTTGAATTGCCTCACTGTGGTAAAACCTAATGCAGGGCAACATGCTTATGCTAATTCTGGCAGCTGACTCCATTTTAGCTTTCTTAGAGCATATCTACACGTCCTGGCCAGACTATACTGCACCTGCTCCATCCATATGCTGAACTGCCTGGCTGCAAGCAAATTCTTGGCTGCCAGTCAAGTGTCTGCACTAGGACAGGCTTCGCCGCCTGTCCTGAGGACAGTTACATAAATTAACAGAGCTCTCCCCAGCCCGTGGCCTCACGGAGTCGCCCAGGGAAGGGTGGTTCTTTGCTCAGTGCTATTGTGCTCTCCTCAGTGCTGCAGGGACTTGGGTCCTGTGTGTGTACATGTGTGCAGCTGATGTGGAGCTCACAGGAACCAGAGTCCTGGCAGCGCCCAGCTGGCTGCAAAGACCTTCCTTGGTCTCTCATACATCAAATCCTTGTGAGCTCTGGCTGACAAACGTAGACTTGTTTTATTACTAAGTACCCTGAAGTGTGTGAGCACACGCAGACGTTGGCTCTAAGTGTCATCAAGCTCCTCCTCAGGACGGCACGAATACAGCAGTGCTCTTCTTGGGCCACAGCAGCTGGCTTGTGGTAGGTAGCCAGGAGTGCTGGTGGAGGAGGTCACCGCTGCTTCTGAAACCTGCCCGTGCCGACGTGCTGCTGGGGTCTGGACACCGCAGCGTGCGCCTTTCCTCCCTGCTCTTCGTTTGGCTGCTCCTCATTACTTAATTCTCCTTAAGGGGCTGGGGAAGGAAGGCCAAAGGAGCAGCTGGCTTTTGCTTTTCTCCATTTTGAAATGCAGTCTTGTGACAGATACTGGTTTACAGAACTAAGATTTCCAGCAAACAGCAAGTATGTTATGCTGTGAACATATCATCCTAATCCTGCAAAGACTGAAAAATAACATACACTTATTTAAACCAATGCACTTAGCCTCCAACATGGTAAATATACCTGCTGTGATCATCCTTACCAGCAACAGATCTTTGGTAAGAGACACTGAAAATGCAGGGATTAGCAATAAGACTCTAACGTACAGGTAAGTGGAATCAGTATATAGAATTCTGTGAAACAAAGAGACTCAGCAGCAAATTAAAGATGAATTTTCCATACTAAATGAAAGTATGCATGAGATGTTTCTATTTGTAATACCATAAGTATACCATGTGCTTCCTGTGAGAGATTCCTTATTATCTGTACACAATCATTCAAAGAAAGATCTAAACTACAGAAGCAGTTTCAGAGATCTGCCTTTGTGTTACCTTCTTGGTTTAGAGGGCTGATATGGTGGGCATTATGAAGGAGCTTATGTTTCAAAAATAAACTTAAAAAAATTAGTAATGGCATTCACAGTACGGTTCCAAAAGGGAAAAATGAAAATGAATTTTGTATTAGGAGAAAGAAATTTAAAGCCAAGGTAATTTGTGCTTTCCTGAAGGTAAGTCTGTATTTTCTTGGACTAGATTTACATGTAGTACTTTCCTAAGTCAGATATTGGAACAAAAGAATAATCAGTGTCAAAAATTCAGATAAAATCTGTAGTGAGCTATAGCATAAATCAAAAAAAGGACTATTCTGTGGTGTCATCATTTGCAGAAATACCAAAGAATTTGGCAGACCGCTACAAAACCCTGTTAATGTAATTACTGTCAATACTGCTTGCAAGAATTTAGTGGGTTCGGGCCCTTGAGTCCTACCGGGTAACAGAGGTTATATAAGTTATGGTGACAGCTACTCTTTCACAGCACCAGCTCGACACTTGCAGCCAGATCTCAACTCAGCTGTAACTCTGAGGGATTGACGGGAGTTTCCATATGGAAGGGCAGCTCTTTTATAAAATAGTTATCCAATCTGGGGGAGAATATAATTCTAAAAAGGGTCGTATAAATATAAAATGATGTTGCAAGCAAGAAGAGTTAGTTCAAGCTGGCAGAAGAAAAAAAGCAGTCATTTAATCTACAAAAAGAGTATTTTGCATTGAATGACGGCAAAAGCACTCTAAATTATACACAAAAAAATGGGACAATGGCAAAATTAAAACCTTCAAGATTAAGATCTCAACGCTTAACTATTCAGTCCTAATATTACTAAACAGTACAGCCAACTGAGCAAGGCCAATGGCTTCATGCCTTCCAAAATCACACCTACTTTGGGACTTTCGGTGACTGAACTAGCACACTGGTGGCACTAGATAGTATCATTTATCTTTTACCTTTGGTAATTCAAAGAAGATTAACTTCTAGTGGGGGGGTGGTGGAAAAAAAGTAGAACTGTAAATTATGTCCGTAGTGCTTGTTGTCACAAAATATCACAGTCTCTAAAGAAATAGCATTTAAGGCATGCAGAGGAGCTCTGCTGCTCATCTAGAAGGAAAAAAGTGCCATAAAGTATCATCTTTCCAAAGGATGAAAAGGTCTGGAGCACTTCTTGGGGTTTTTATAACCAAACAATGTGTCTGGACATAACTCACATCCATCAATATGTTATTTTGTACTAAAAAGGCAAGTCCTTTTTAATAAGTAGCCCTAAAACATGTACTGCTTTTCAGGTTATGAGAGGTTGTGTGTTTGGCATGGGGAATTTTGGGTGTTGAGAATAGCCTGTGTGTGGTGCCCAACTTGCTGCGTTACCCCACTCCTTGGCTCCTGTGATTGACCAGAACCAGAACCCATAATCATTCCACAGAGCAACCCTTGCTTCCCTCACCAGGCACATTTGCTACATGTGGCCAGGGCAGCAGTAATGCCTGCTCACAGCTAGAGTTGTAACTCTGTCTACAAATTAATGGAGGCTGATATGTTACCGATCAAACAACAAATATGAAATATTTTATACAGTAAAATTGTTTACTATTTATAAATATAAACTATGAGTGCAAGTCATGTGCACAATGCATGTACGCTTACCTAGGCCTGCTGCACTGGAATAGAATCCAAGAGAAAAGTCATCTGGAAGCATTTCACAAGCGTGTAACATATCCGCAGCTTCTGAGGAAAGCAGCAGACTGCTATTTGTGTATGAAAGCAAAGCACTTGGTCTATGCCAGGTTCCTCTCCATCATTTTTGAAGGTATTTAGTGTGTGTCCGAGTCTGGTTGCAAAGCAGGGGCCATGGGGATTGCCCATGCAGGATGTGGGCAGAACCCTGTGCTGCTGTAGCAGAGTCATGAATGCAGAACCTCTTTGTCCTCAGAAACCTTGAGCACAAAGATGGGTGTGGAAAAAGGACCAACCTAAGACTTTCAAAGCCCAGAGAGCTTTAATGGGTGACTGCCAGCTCAGAATTGATACTTCTCTCTGGATATACTTACCTGGTATGATTAGGAGGCTAATAACTGAATAAGCTGATGGGAATTCATTCATGCCTTTTGCACACCGTTCAAAAAGTCTGTGCCGTGGACATTGCAGAAATAATTGATATATATGTGTATGTGCAGTGTGTGTACAAATGCATTATTGAACAGAAATGCTAAACTTAATGCTTAAAAAGATATTCAAAAACTCATGGCATACTTCATAACTGATTTTCTAGGATAAATTATATTTTTAACTAATCACTTCAGTAACTGAAGTCATCAGTGACCTTTTAAAATGACTATACATACACAGCACACTATTAGAAGAACATTGATTTTTTTCCCCCTCCACTGCAGGCAAAGTTTAATGAATAAGTTTTCATACTGAGGGATAATTAAGCTTGAATTTCTTTTCTTAAAGGTTTAGTATTAGTGCTTTTGATCACATTATTTTTTAACTGTTAAAGTCCAAGCAACCAAGCAAGTAAATGCAGAAATTAACCTTTTTATTATATTATATACTGTAGTAGTAAAGTTTGTTTGAAGTGCATGAATAAAAAGTTAGTGAAATTACAGGAGGAACAATCTAATATAGCAATAATAGGTGCATTCACTGTGCATCTGAGAGGAGGAAGAGGGGAAAAAAAAGAAAAAAAAAAAAGAAAAAAAAAAAGAGTTTTCACTCATTTTGGCCTAAAACATTGTGTTCAGGTTTCCAGGATTCTGATATCAGAACCCAGATAACACTGATTAGAACCATAGGGCTTTACAATAAAAGCTAAAATATTGACCATATGATGGCAAAAAAGTCTTTATTTTGTGGTTAACTTATTCTCTTCTAGCTACTCTCTGATGAAGTTGGTGGTGCTGTGGAGGAGGATCTCCTTCTTCTTGACAAAGACCGTGACCGCTCAGCGCTGTAGGCAACATGCTTATCATAATTCTGTATCTGAGCCTCGAGGAAATCCCTCTGTTGCTGGCTGATTGTCTGGCTAATCAGTCCTGGGAGAGCTTGAATGCTACCAATTAAAGTTTCCAGTTTATTTTCCAGAGTAACGATTCTCTTCTCGAAGTCTTCACTTCTTTCATTTAAGTCAGAAATCATGTCATACATGATGTTTTGAGTCTGAAAGCAGAAGAATATTAAGCAAAGGTTCAGAGAGCTCTTCCAAACACTGCAAGGTTCAGAGCAGCTTTACAAGGGTTCCTAAATGATTTTGCACTTTGCAAAACCAGACATGAATATCAGAACAAGACCTAGCCTTATGAAATAATTATACCTGTAGAGTCACAACAAAACTATCTATTGGTGCTAAATTTTTTGAATATAAATATAAGACTGATATTTTCAGTAGCGTTTTAAATGTCAAACTCATTGAATTAGATAAACCTTTTCATAACTCCAGGTATTTAGAAATGCACCATCATAAGATCTGTGAATAGAATTAATTGTATACATTGTGAGAAGACCAGGAGTTGCAAAGTGCAGTGATATGCTCTTGACTCTACTGGACTTCTTCTAATTTTTTAAACAACTTGATGTTTTTAAGCAGAACCATTTTCCTTGTTTTCTCCTAGGCTACTCCAGTTCCCCTGAACTGTCTGTAATACAAGAGTAGTCAGATGGACTCTTTTGAAGTGTGGAGCATGGAATAAAGCCTCAAGCATCCGTTTCTCTTCTTCCCTCATCTACCTGCCCTCTGCAAAGCAGTGTTTCTTAATAGAAAGCAGACAGGCAAAGTTTAAAATGTGATAAAGATCAGTACAAATCTAATCTAAAATCTTATTATTTCATAGTCTGTTTATATTCTTTTGTTTCCATTTGTTTTTCTTGCAGTTGAAGTGGTTAAAAATGACCCAATTTATCCCTACTGTAGTCTAGGACTTCAGATGAGACTTAAGCTGAAGTTAAAATAATGGTATGTAATGCACTAAACACATTGGCTGAAGTTGATAATCCATTATACAGGAATGAAAAATTAATTGAATGACTGACTACCAGAAGTGCATGGAACTGAGGTATGAGACAAGCGTCCATAATCCATTTCCCTCTCCCCTGATTCAAGATGCTAGCATAATCCTTGAAACAAATTAGTCTACATGAAATAAGTGTCCAAAAAGTCCTTATCAGTTGCCAGAAGAAGTAGAGTGAAATGCATTTTCAGCAACTGAGGCTAAGGCAGGCAGTTCTCTGCAGCAGAACAGCCACTACTGTGTCTGATCTTTGCCTTGGTAATGCACTTCAAATTTTGGTTTGGGGATGCCTGAAGACAAGTGTATGAGGAACCATTAGGAAGAGTATACAAATGTGTCTGATATCTCACATGAAGTCCATACAGTGCAACTGCTATGTATCGGTAGTTTCACCTGAAACCCAAACAGCACTCTGCTGCCTGTGTCATTATTGTTTTATGTTTAAAGTACAACAACAGGCAAGTAGTTTGTGCTTTCATCTCAAATGGCTTTCAAAAGACAAGTCTTCATCAGCAAAGTGGCCAGTTGTTATTCATTGTAAAAACACAGAAAAAATAGATATTTAGTCCTACGAAGCCCCAAGTCGCCGCTTTACAGAAGAGCTATTGGGGAAATGCAGAAATGCTGACCTCAGGTTGTGTGTGGAAGAGTCATGCCCCACAGTGCAGCGGTTCTAATGGGAAAGGAGAAGCCCTCATGACAGGGCTGTTTGCTACTGCTGCCCCATACCATTCAGCCTCAGCATTTACCATCACGGCGGCTGGTTCAGCAGCTCTTGGGAGCAGCCCATACTGTTAGGAAACTTTTTTTTCAAATATTCAATAAAAAATGCATTTGAATCTTGATCAGCACTGTAAACACGATGCTTTATACATTAAGTTTTAGCCCAGAATAGATATATATTGTTCTTTATAGAAAAAGAAAAGTTAACAGTATTTACATCTGTAACATATAACACTTTCACGATCTTCACTTTGGCAGGATGAATGTTATTGCAAAACAACAGTAATTGTCTACAAACCTTTGCCAGGTCCACTAAAGTGTTGGCTTGATCATTCAGTTTCCTTTGTTCCATTTTTACGCTTCTTAACCTAAAAAGTAGAATTTTATGTCAGATTGTGTGGATGGCTCTAGAGTCATCTGAGGCTTTCTAAAAGCATGCATAAAAATTACAAGGACAAAGAACTGCATGGACAATGCCCGAGTACTTTGTGTAAAGTCGGAATTGGTCATGTGTCTGGTACAATGAGAAGCATGCTTCTTCCACACCGCAAAAAAGAAAGAGCAAGAAATGTGATGTCCTTGAGACTACTGTTTGCCATGGTTAAAGTTGAATTCAAAAAGGGAAGTAACAATTTATCCAGGCTACATGAAAAAAAGCCAAAACATTCCTCAAAGCCTCAGTATCGTGACAAGTAGATATAGGAAGAAACATGGAACAACGGATCTTTGTTGTTAGTGTTGCAGCAATTGAATCTTCCCATGCCTACATGACTAGATACAGGTATTAGCCCTGTTCAGTCGGAAATGGATTGGGTTAGCAGGTGTTTGAACCTGATGGAAATACAGTGATAAGTGAGTTTTCCACTACTTTAAACAGAACTTTCATCTGACCGGCAGCTAAACAACCGAAGTACTTGCCAATACATTTAATTTCCTTAATGTTCTGTACATAGCTTGCAAATCTAAATATGATTACATTTTAAACTTACATTACACATTCCTTTTCAATGTCCTATTCAAAAATGATGTAATCATTGAGTGCATATTTTATCTTTGATGCTTATCTAACTTAATATTATATTGTGTACATTCTTTGAAAGATATATGCACAAGCGTCTCTACATATTCTTTGAATTAAACTTCATGCTTTTCAAATAAACTTCTATCAGATTGGGTTTATATATGTAATTTTCAAAAATAAGCATTTTATCTCTTAAGTGAAGTAAACATCTTACAGCAGAGATTAGACTGTCAGTGACTTTTCTGGTTGATGTTTGAGCAATAGACAGCATTTTTCAAAAACAACACATGAATTTATAACACAGGGATGCCATATACTCCTCTAATATATCAAGGAGCAACTAGGTAGTTGGCTCTCAAGGGAAAACGGTAGTATTTTATGGCATGTGGATTGCTAACACACACTCAATGACTGTGTTACTTAAAAAATTATGTGTATCTTACAAAGCAAATGTGACTTCACAGAAGCATATACAACTGTTCTTGTAAAAGAACTGAAACTGGAGGTGGTGCACAAAAGAGCTCCTTGCTTCTTCTTCACTTCAGCTTCAGCCCACACGTGGAAAATCCTTTTGCCTTTTTTGTATTTGGAATAAATGGGGGATGAAATTCTCACCCCCTTTTAAATTAATAACAAATTGTTAGGACTTTCAGAGGATGAGGATAATATCCTCAGGCTTTTGGAAGCCAATGAATCTGTTCATCTCCATTGGCTATAAATTACCACTTAAATCTTGAAAACCCGATGAAGGCTGTTAGCTTCAAAAATGCATTAAGTTTTTATTGCCTTTCTTTGTATACATATGTGTATGTATATGTATATATACATATGTGTATGTATATATATGTATAGATGTATGTATATTTACATATGTATGTATACATATATATGTATGTATACATATATATGTGTATATATATGTATGTATACATATATATGTATATATATATAGATATACAATCTATATATCTAAATAAATAAATAAATAAAAGCCTTCTGGAAGATGTTCCAAACTCAGGACACTTATACTCAGATCTTCAGTTACCAAACATTCGCCTTTGACATCTACACTAACTTCCATAACAGAAGTAGTTGTGAACAGTGGATGTTGTTAATTTGAACAACTGATTTCTACCTTAGGTTGACATTCCAGCAGCTTGCTGCTGAATGTCATCCACAGTTTTTCTTCCCTTGGAGGTTGCCTCCAGAGCACCCTGTGCTCGTTGCCTCCAGAGCACCCTGTGCACGTAGTTTGTAGAAATGATGCTTTCAGAAGCTATGTGCTCAAGCTGTTTTAAAGGAAAAAGCATGGAGGGCATCTCTAAAACTTTTTGGAGGATATATACTTTCTGCTTAAGAGTCTCTGAATCATACATTTGCCAATTTGTGTGCTGACTTCTAATATTTTGAGCAATCCATTACCAAAAGCAGTACCTGTTGACAGTTTGGCAGTGCCTAATGGCAACCAGCCCCAAACCTGCACAGACTCTAAAAGTGTATCTCTGGATAACGGCAAGTTTTTAGCTGCAGCAGACAGATTACAAGAAAAGTAACTGACTTTCGTTCTCAAGTTCATTAAGACAAAATATGAAACATTCTGTTATTATGAACTTCACTTATCACAGCAAAAGATCATGATTCTGGATCGCGTTTCCATGGCAGCAATCAGACCATAGAAGTTCACAAATAAAGACTCTATTTTTTGCATGCAGACAGTGGTAAATTCTGCAAATTTAGAAAGGAACAGCTCATACAACTTACTTCCGAGCTCTATTTTCATTTTGTTGAAATAAAAAGACAAAACAAAAGAAAACAAACTGTAAAATATACTAAAACAACCAACTGAGCACAGTGGGCTCGATTCTGCACATGGGATGTCCTATGGACTTTCTGTTGCTTCTACTCAGTAACTGCCTCCCGTAGAGTCTAATCAGCTTGCATTTCCAACAAGGGTACTTGCAATATGTTGAAACCTTCCCAAAAGTTATCAGCTTGTAGATGTTCTTACTCAGCACATAAAAATGCAGTGTTATCGTTCAGAGTGCTGATCACCTTCACCTTGTTTACTGTGCATGGGAAGGGAAAGACCGAGAGCAGCAGGAGGTAGCACAATCACAGACAACATCCTCAGACCATTACTGACTGAGAGTGTGTGACTGTTACTGCAGCCATGCTCTGGTATCACGTATAAAGCTGGCCCTAAACTTCACTCTCTTTCTTCGTCCTGTCTCCAGATCAATGGTTGAGGCTGAGCGGCAGAAGTGCCAATAAAAAATGGAGAATTCAGAAAGCAGGAAGAGAGCCATGTGCAGCGGTGAGTCACTTGGCTTTGGTCCCCTGGGAAAGTTCCAAAGGTGCAAGGGGAGAGCAAATAACTTGCATCCAGCTACTCTGCAGCCACCGGAAGAAAGCAGACTGCTAGGGAAGTGTTTCCATCCATGGCTCATTCCCGTGCATGATGAAAAAGCGAGAAAGATAGGGTTTTTTTTGTTTGGTTTTTTTTTTCCTCTCTTCCCTTAAGTAAAAGTTTTTGGAATGGGAGCAAAGTGCTAAACGCAGAGGGAAATGCATTATTAATAGAGCTGTTCGAAGTTTGGCTAGTACAGCTAGGAAAAAAAATGACTGCTGTCACCTTCTTCACCCCACCCTCCCTTGCCACCTGATTAATGACTTTTTAAGGCATGTGCACAATAACACTTGTGAAGCTCTTCTGGGCTTGGATGGTAATGCAAAGCTGCAGATCGAGCCTGCTGTGCTGTTTTTTTGTTTTTTGTTTTTTTTTCCCTAAATTTCTTTTTATGCATACACATGTACATATGTACACCCCTCCTCCCCCCGTACACTCACACACAGAATAATAAGGTTAAAATTCCAAGGCATAACCCTTGCAATCGGGGATTCAAGTCTTGCAAAAGATACACAGGACATGCCATCCTCTGCCCCCAAACTCTTCCTCTTCTCCTCCCAGTCATTTAAACTGAAAAACATGTCATAATTGAGCCAAGGAAGGTTGCTTTCCTGCCTAAAAAATGCCTCAGTTTTTGTGGCCTTGTTGTTTCCTCAACTATTTCAACAAGAACACAGTAACAGTAAATCTAACAAGTTCATTAAATACACCACAGTAATTAAGGTTTGTGGAGTATTTCATACTTTAAAGCTTTGCTACCAATTACTTAAAATGATGTTATGACCCTCAATTTAATAAGAAATACAACTTGGCCTTCCTTCTCCTCTCTTTCATGCAAAATGATGCCACACAGAAGAGACTACATAAATATAAGTGGTTATGCATCCCTCCTCATACACATTACACTCAGGAGTTAAACAAATAAACAAACAAAAAAATCAGTTCAAACTGAATGTCAGTTAATTTAGTTGTGTTTCTACAATATGTCATGAGAACACGTTTTGTAGGCTGTACAAATGGGTGCCATAGGTTGGGTACATCAAACAGAGCATACAAACAGTGGCAGGGGTTCTGGCCATTCTTTATGATGCTCTGCAGTTCCTGAGGAGAAAAGACCTTTTTTGTCCCCATTATAAGCCAAGAAATGGCAAGTGAATCATTGCATAGTTCTAGTGGTTACAACTACATATTACAAATTTTATTTAAGTACTTACAGACTGGTGTGCCATAAATCAGCCTAATCCTACTGTTCGTCGCAATTCTCAGGCTTGTTCTCAATCGCTCTAGGCGTGCAGCAGAGAGGAGCTGGTCCAGCTTAAGCCAGCAGTGTCCAGGAGCCATTCAAAGGCTGCTGGCGCCTACTCCCCATCTCTGCACTTGTTGCCAGGAGTGAGAGCTGACCTATCTACTGCATATTTTAACCACTAAGAAAATATGGAGGAAAGAAGTAGCAAATTGCTATTGAGCTGCACAAAGTAAGATGAGAACGTGATTGTACTTGTTTCACATTAAACACAATATGGCTACTCACAATAGCTGTTCTATCACATTTTCCTGATATGAAATTTTTAAAACATTTGATAAAATGAAACCATTTTTTCCCCCCTATCATTTATTGTCTTTTGTAGCTGTTTACCTACAAGACAAATAGAAACAATAAAGGATAGTCTGAGTAGCAAAACACACACACACACACACAGACAAAACTGCTCAGCTAATTCACAAAACAGCATGAACATCTGTGAAAAAAAAATATTTTAAATAGGTTTGATTGACCCTGTGCAGGGCATACACAGCCAAAACGCTTTCTTTTCTAAATAGACACTACAGTAAGATCTCATTTTTGTCTTACTCTGAAAGAAGGAGAAGATACAAACTCAAGCTCTCAGCGGGGAGAGAAGAAGAAAATGCCTGGACAAAAAAAAAACAAAGCGAAGTAGTACTTACTGATGAATAGCTTGCAAGAATTTGCGTTGATGTTTCCTTACTTTCGCATGGTCTATCTTTTTAACAAGCTTTGTGTTTTTATAAATTAACCATGTTTCCCTGAGTACATTGGCCGCTGCATTTTTCACCTGTTTAATAAAAGAAAAACACCGGGATGACAAAAATAACATTATGTCTTTTTTCTAATACATTGTAATGAAAATTCTTGCTAAAGCACCTTAATACTCTGCCTGTGGGAAAATGGGTATATATGAAGAAGCTGCAGCAACAAGGCCAGAAAACACGGTCTGACCGTGGAGAATGCTGAGTAATTTCTGTACTGTGTGTAAGAGTGATATTGGGCTTTATTAAAAGCAATAACCAGCTTTATTTGCACCTGGGAATTACTTGCCCCTCTTGAAAAGAGTTAGGACCATATGGTGTTTAGGGCAATATGAATTACAGTGAAGGAATATTAATGCATTATCTGTATGGTAATTAGCTAAATATATTTTATATGACCATAAACTTCCTCTCTTCTTGTTGCATGATTATTACCTCCTATTTCTTTTAGCAATTTAACAGTCTTAAATTTCCAGAGCTGCTCAGACAGGTTTTATTTTTCTGCTTTTGTTTCATTATTCTGGTTTCCTACCATCCACACAGGAGATGAAAAATATCTTCTTAATTAATGTATATGGTGTTTTATTTCATGAGTTCTTTGATTATTTTAATAGGTTTATTAAAAGAGTTCCCACAGTTCTTTCTTAGGCCCTCCAATATTCTGAAGAATAGTTGAAAACAATGGACTTTTTTAAACATTCTGTTGATTAATAACACAATTACTAGGTTATTTATAAAGGCAAACAGCCCTTATTATTCATGTCTCTCTCCCTCTGGCCCTTTACTACGTCCACCCAGCATCAGAGCTCAGCAGATGGATAAGTTCAGGCCCTGTGGGAACGCTAGGCAGTTGCTCCTGTTGGGCAGGGATCCCTGCACCTGTAAAAGCCCTGGAGAAGTTTAGTCATGACTTTAGTGGAAGCTGCTTCAGGCTGCGAGAAAACCTCCCCAGTACCTGTGGAACTGACTTGTGCTTGTGCCAAATTAAACGTCTGGTTTGCTTCTCATTTGTGTTGTACTGAAGCTACAAAGGGACTACTTGTTTGCTCTACTTAACTTGTATTTACCATTATACATGAAGCATAGCTGAATGGAGTAAACTTTAAAAGACATAAACAAGCACCAGACTCTCAAAATCTGGCCACAAAACCTTTTTTTTTCCCCCTCTGAAAGCAGTTTTCAACTCAGCTGAGAGGTGATACTTGAGTTTTCTTGTCAGTTCCTTGAATGGCAACTTCTTACCTCGTCATGGACAAGCATGAAAGCAGTTTGCCGCATTTGAAATCTGCCACTAAATCACCATCTGTGAGTGAGATTATTTTAGATACCTGTTTCCCTATACTCTTCACATATTAATTTCCTGCAGTGGGATTAATTTGGCCAAATCCTTAAATTTGCAGTAGAATTCTACTCGTAATCACATGTACAGATTCAGACAAGAATCACCTTATTTTCAGTACCATTACTGTTTATTTCCAAAAGTCTATGTCTTTGTTAGGAAGGGACAAACTGCTGTCCAAGGTCTAGTAACAACAGGACCTTAACTGATTATAATGAGTGTTAAGCAGCAGCTCAACTAGACACTTAAATGCAGGTTACACAATTCCCACCCTTTATGCCTTCTCGCTCCCCTTAAGTTGTCTCCACTCTATCTGCTTAGGGGAGATGCACGTTTTTTTCCAGGATGGAGGGGAGCACAGCTCAGAGACATGGAAGCTGATAAAATTGGAGGAATGCTTTGACATGCCCGAGAGGAGCATCTGCCTCAGTGCAGCCACTTCCTGGATGTCAGAGCAGAGGGCTGGGGCAGCACCACATGGCTGTGCTGCAAGGAGCTCTGCTGACACAGACAACCTTCCCCTCAGGAGCAGAGCCCTCTTTCTGCCCCAGGGCTCTCCACTACCAGTAAGGAGAAGGTGCCAGTGAGTTCCCAACATGATTGTGAAGACTTTCTTCCCAGCGCTGCTTCTCCCTCAACTACTAAGATTAATCAAGTTATCCCACTCATTTTCATGTTTCCTCAACACTGACCTGTTTCTCGAGGATACAGGATGTCTACTGTCTCCTTCGTTGTGTTCTTTCATTTTCTTTCAGATCGTTTTTGTGAACAAAAATTTAGGTTATATCTTTTAAGGAAAAATTTAAAACAAATTCTTATAAATTTTAAAGATTTATAAAGTTTTTGTTCTTATCAATATCTCTTTCAAAGACTTTTATCATCTACAAACATCTTTCAGGGTGCTGCATTATTTTGTGCAGCTGTGTGAGCCATTTGTTCAGTACCCAAACTAACTGCAAAGACTACCTCACTCATAAACTATAAATACTTGAAATTTATTATTAAGTGTAAGAAGGTATATCCTTTTTCTAAAGGACAGTCTTTCATAGCTTGAAATTCTGAAATATATTGTCCATTTTATCTATTTTAGTCACAAGAATTTTACATATTCTCCTATTCTTTTCACTTCCATTTAATATATAGGTCTCTAGTTTCATAGCTTTTAACTACTGGTTACGTGATTTGTGTTCCAGCAGCAGGGATCCCCTACAAAAGAGCAAGCAAACCTTCAAAACCTGTGGGGAACCTGCTGCTGCCCTTGACTTCAAAGAGCCCAGGGCATTCATTTCCTACAAAATCACAAGTGTGAAAATGTTCAATAAGAGAATGGAGCACAAAATAATTTAAGACAAATGCAGAAAGATTTAATATACATTTGCTTTTCAGTCATGAACAGAAAGCGTGACTTACTCTTTTAGTTAGCTGGGTGTCCATCATGAAATTATGCACGTGTTTTTCAGCTTTGGTAAGTTCTAACTTCCTTGCAACCACAGCTACAACCAGTGCAGTGCACCCAGCACCCTGAAAACAATAAAATAAACCCTCAAGATCTTACTGCTGCGTTTTGTAGAGCTTTTAATGGATCTTGTTCCTTTGCTGTAGAAATAAGGCAGACTTCAGTTGATTCATCATCCCTGATAAAGTAAGTGAACATGTTACAACTTTTTCAGTTTAGAGTAATAGGAAAAGTCAGCAATTTTGGCTAGTCAACTCCACGGCATCAAAATAATTAATAAGCAGAATCCAAGGCATCAAAATAATTAATAAGCAGTATCGTTTAAAAGTTCTGATTTTTTCCCTATAGGAGATGAAAATTCAAACACATCCCATTTCTCCTACATAAATAAAGGAGGTAATCAGAACAATTTTAAAATTCAGAATTTCAGTAAATGAAGGCAGAATATCCTCTTCTTAACAACCGTCTACTCTGTATGGCAATTGCTGAGGAAGAAATTAGATTAGATTAGTACTTAGCACACACATTCAGAGGATCATTCATAGGATTTTCTTTAAGGCCTAAAGAAAATCTTGTCATAAATCTAGTATTTAACCACTTCAGCATACTTCCTTGCTGTTTTCTAAGGCCTACAATGATCTTTTCCCTACAGAATTTCCTATTCCTTATTACTACTTAAAATAGTACATAACCACAACACCATTACTTCAAAACTTGAATAGAAAAACTTGTAAGTGCTCTGTATATATTTGTATACCTGTATGTAAGAACCACCATGCATACTCATAATAGGCCAAAGCCAGCAGTGAAATGACTGCACCATCATCAGGAGGCTAGAATGAATAAGGTAACTACAAACAGCATGCTACATGCAGCTCCTGGTACCACTTATTCTGACACTAGAATTCTAAAATACTCTAAAATTCTGTAAAAAGCAGAATTTCTAAATTCTACTGTTCCTTTTTTTTTTTTTTTTGAACCATCCTTCACAGATTATTAAAAAAAAAAAGATACAAAACCAAATTAAATATATAACACATGTGTTTAACTTCCAGGTTCACTCAAATTTAACTGTTCAGTGCATTGGTATCAGTTGCTGTCCTAGTGAAGAAACATCCCAGTTGAAGTTTACTACATTTTTCACACCATTTTCTTCCACTTTTTCCAGATTTCTCCCATAAGTTCAGTTACTCTCACCTTGCTCTTCATCTAGGTCTGCTTTACGATCTCCAGAAAATACAGAACATTGTTGAACCTACCTTGCAGGCACAAATATCACACAGAGATGCCAAAACAAACCAACTCATTGCAAGTCTTTATTCACATAATGCTTCCAAAACATGCAGCACTTGCCCTCTTCATTCCTAATGAACCTAACAAAATGTGTGAAAGCCTCCAGTTAATTAGTCTCCAATTTCATTCTGCTGGTAATTTATGTCAATAAATTCACCTGCTCCCTCACATGGACCTGTGGTCTTCAATTAATAGCCCTCAGGAAGCCCTCAAACAAGTCCCTTATAATTTTGCAGTAGTTGCCCATGTAGGTAATGTAGTTTGCAGCTCGCTCTCTAATTGTAAGATGAGGGCAAAAGGTTCTTTGTTTCCCCACATCCCGCTAAATGTTAATGAAGAAAACAGCTAATGTAGCTGTGGTTTGTATGGCCTGTGAGCTTCCACATCTCCAAATATGTTCTCCGCTCAGATTACTCCTTGTTCTTGGCTTGATGGGCTATGATCTCAGGATACGGAAACAGGTTCTTTTAACATTTCTGTGAAAAACAGGAATAAAACTCTGGTTGCTTGTTTATCTTTTTGCAATACCTTTAAGAGAGGCAGATTATTCTTTAAACAACTATCAGCTTACAGAATAACACATTGAAATTCTGCTTAACGTATGTGATTCTAATTAATATTTTATGTTACTGCTCTGCACTTTTATGTAGTTTCCCCTGAAGAGTTCAGTATCCTTAAAAATAATAATAAAGTGAGAATTATCCTGAATTGCAGCCATGAAACATGATCAAAACAGTTATTTCAAAAATGGTAACATAATACTCACTATGTTTTGGCACATCTCTATTTAAACAGAATCACAGAATGGTTGAGGCTGGAAGGGACTTCTAGAGATCATCTAGTCCAACCCTCCTGCTCTGTTTAATGCTAGAAGCTAGTAAAAGAATTAACCAACATTTGCTCTCCTTCAAGTACTATACGGTCAAGGATTTGTGAGCAACTACCAAGTGCAAAACCTGATCTCCCTGGACTCCTCTGATTTCCACAAAAGTACGTACAGCAGAACTACCTGCCAAACCAAGAAAAGCCCCAAAAGAGCAAGCTGTTCAAAAAGGGCCTCTCAGAAATGCCCTAGACCAACAGCCCTTCTGTGAGCTAAGCAGTGCTTAGCTTTGATTTGCAGTGTGCTGAAACTGATGCATGCGAACCTAAATGCACATGCATTGCACTGAATCAATGTATTTGTTGCTTCATATTAAGTGGCTTGCATCAGACCTAGGCAAAAAGTCTGAAAACAAGCACATGACACTGCCTTTCAGCCAGGAAGAGCCACAAATACAGGATTGGATTTTACTGCATAGTGGCATTAAATTTCTGATGATACAATACAGAGCTTGCATTTGTGAGCAATATGTCCTTGAAGCAAAAGGCCTACAGCCATTTATACTCTACAGATTGTTCCTTGACCACTTAGCTGCTAGCCTATATGAAAACATTTTGATATGCCACCAAACAGCTTAAGAACAAACTTCACAGTTCCAGTTCTAAAAATTCTGCTCCTGCAGCTAACAAAAAAGGATGACATAGGTTCAAATGCTCATCCAAGTAAGCCATAGCCTGTGAAAGCTATCAGTAGGTGAGCTACCACCCAAAGTAGACGGCACAAATATATAGAAAACAGAATTCTGTGGGTATTTGATTAAGAAAGGTACACTTGGATATTGATAAACATTTTTTTTTCAGTTATACAAGTCTGTATAATGACTGATGTTTCTTAGAAAAATTAACACGGGCAAGTTGAAGAGAGGAAAAAAACAGAACTTGCAAATAGGTGCATGCTTTCTGACACCAAGCCTACACTATTTCAAAACAGCAAGGAAAGAAAGGTGAAATTAACTGCATTTTAAGTTATACTTTGAATTTAGGAAATGAAAAGAAAATGCTAAAATACAAGCTCCATTCCCAAATTTTAAAACTATTACTTGGTGTTACTATTCATTTTGTTTTTAGGCTGCACAAACTCTTATTTTTCCTATCTGTCCACACAACTAAAACACTCATTTTGCCATTTATTTCTGAATAGCTACACTCTTTTATCTGCTTAGACAAAACAATTTATCCCTTTCATATTACAGAATTACACAGAATCACAGAATGGTTGAGGTTGGAAGGGACCTCTAGAGATCACCTCGTCCAACCCCCCTGCTCCAGCTGGGACACCCAGAGCACGGGGCACAGGGCTGCATCCAGGCAGGTTTGGAAGATCTCCAGAGCAGGAGACTCCACAACCTCCCTGGGCAGCCTGTTCCACAGGAAACCTTTCCTGTCACCCCCACAGGAAAGAAGTTCTTCCTCATACAGAGATGAAACTTCCTATGTTTCAACTTATACCCATTGTCCCTTGTTCTATTACTGGCCACCACTGAGAAGAATTTGGCCCCATCCTCCCTACATTCTCCCCTCAGGTATTTATACATGTTGATAAGATCCTCTGTTAACCTTCTCTTCTCCAGGCTAAACAGGCCCAGCTCACTCAGTCTTTCCCCCTCCCATAGATGCTCCAGTCTCTTCATCACCTTTGTTGCTCTCTGCTGGACCCTTCCTAGAAACTCTATGTCCCCCTTGTCCTGTGGAGCTTAGAACTGCCCCTGTACTCCAGGTGTGGCCTCACCAGAGCTGAAGAGAGGTGGCAGGATCCCCTTCCTCAACCTGATATCCAAAATCAAGGAGTTGCTGCAATGGTTAATTTCTCTGCCTCTCATTTTTTTACTATGTTACTCTGCTTTGTGTCCCTCTACTTCCTTCTCTGTTACATCAAATAAAGAACATTTGCCCTCATTTTGGTTATTTTATGCCCTTGGATTCTTCCATTCCGATAGTAGAGATGTAATAGTTCCCTGGCTCTAGTAAACTCATGATGCCAGCATTAATTTCCCACTTTAAAAACTTTCAAACAAAGCCAACAAATCCCAAGCCTCCTTGCAAACAAAGTCTTCACAATATCTCTTGACTTAGAAACACATAAAAATATAATTTATCATTTTCTTTCAAATCCTCCCTCCTGTTCTAGTACATTGGTTACTTATCACAAAAGTTAGCCAAACCTGTCACGATACTCAGATTTCTGGTGATCTGGTTGAGATCATTTATTCTAATACTGTATCAGAAGACCTCCTTGGTCCTCTCTTCCTTTACATGGTAAGCCGGTTCCACTATCCCCATGGGGATAGTAAGCCATTTGTGAATTAGAACCACATATTTTTTCTGTCTTTATACAACACCAGACTCAATGGGATCCGACAGAGCTCACAAGTTCTACAGTAAAATACATACTGTATGAAGATGGTAGGTCTATCCTGTACATCTCACAACCCTAGACCTAGATTCATCCTTCTCCTTCAGTTTCCACTGTGCTCTGCTGCAATACCTATCACAATACATATTATATACTGTATCAGCCCACTATCCTGCTCTTTGTTGATGTAGTCCACTCTGAGCTTTTTGCTGCCATCATCAAGGTTGCCAGTCTTGAGTTAACTAATTTAAAGCTATCACAGAGAATTTAGATCATGTTATGCTGCAGCAGACATAGCCATACTTAAGAGCAATATCTACTCTACAGGGCAAAAAGATATTCTTGCCCAGTGACTAAAACTGTATTTGATGAGGATGAAGCTATGAAGTATGGATCAGGAAACAGCCTGCAAGTGTTCATGCTGATGCTGTACACAGGGAGTGCAAGATTGCACTGTTCAGACTCAGTCTTTGACAATGTCAAGTGCTTGGGTCTAGCATTTCAGCAAGGGCCTACTTTTAGTGATAACCAAAGAGA